AGCTTACAAGCCAAAAATTATGACTAGTTGCCGGTTAGCAACTAGTTCGGTTAGATCTCTATAATTATTATTTCTCAAGTTCTACACGTTTAAAAGTGTAGGCGGTAGCAGAATAGCGCATAAATTGTAATATATCCCTCCGCCTACTTACAACTATTTAGAAAATTAAAACTTACAATGGTAATTATTCTTAAATGATTATTGATCAGTCTTCATTTACAGAAAATTGTAATCGCTTTCAGAAAAGCTTATTGTTTTACGTTAAATTGATCAGTCAACATGATTTAGTAAATGTTTAACAATAAATAAAAATACTATAATAAAATGATAAATATTGTAGTATGTGTTGAAATAAATACATTTTTGAAAATAAAATTAACATTTGGTTGATCCCATCTAACTGTAAACATTTCCACAATATAATAACTGCAAGTATTGTAAAGCTTTGTATTATTCATTCAATGTACGTTAAAATAACGAACAATGGAGGTAGTTGTATGTTTTTGAACTTTTAAGAGTCTCGTTGAACTTAAAAAAGGACACGAGTTCATTTACATAGGTAACGCTAGGACAAGTTCAAGGCCAATTGTAGTTAATATCTGCTAGTTTACTCTTTAATGTTTACTTATTTTTGTGTAAACATTTTATGTAAATTTTTAGTAAAAATGTTTAACTCTTAACGCAGTCGATCATTGTACTTGCATATTTTACTAGTGTGTTATTATGATTTTGTGTACACTATATAAGTTGTGTGAACTTCTAAGTATTTTTTGTCAAAAAGTTTATATTGTATGTTTTTTAAATTAATAAACCAGAACACGTAAGACAAAAACTACTTAATTTTGGGTTTAGAACTATTTGACAAGTGCTACAGAACTATTTCAGTATGTTTATCTCGCAGTACTGCCAACACTCAAAAATTCTAACAGAGATATATTATATTATTTAAAAATTTGATAGCTTTGAAAAATCTCTATTAAAAATTAAATTTGTTAGCATTTTTACAATACTGTCATTTTTTGCTTATTTAAAATTAAAATCCGTGAACTTTTTTTAGCTCTGAAAATTTTTTTAAATAATGAACAAGTGTTCATAACGTTTCCATATTGACGAATTATTTATATTAGTGAATTTTAGATGTACGTGGAAATGAAAAATAACTCACATTTTATTATAGCTTGTAAAAACAGGAAAGTGAAAACAGCACTTGTACGGTTTACACGAAAGCTCATAAAAAAGGTCAATAAACTGCTGTAAGTTAAACCCTTATATTATCCCTTAATACCTAGTCTACCTTATAACTTAGCGACGGCAAACTAAGATGTACACCGATTTTGATGTACAGTATGTGCCAAAAGTCACGGGACTCTGGGAATAACTCGAATTTAAGTTTGAATTGAAGTATTAATTTTTCATTAGCAAATAGTGTAATAGTGAAGATTGTAGTTTGACTTGAAACTTGGTCATACTATATTCAAACTTTATTTAGTTAAATTAAGTTTTACACATAATACATAAATACTGTCACGGGGATTTCGGGGCACACTGTATGTACGACTACTATATTTATTCACCCACGAAGAGTTTATGCTAGTCATCGGTACCGCCATTTGTATGATTTGCTTGTAAAGCCATTAGTTACGTTACAGTGTTGTTCATTTTTACGATTTGTCGTATGTCTCCTATTAACATACCGGTAACGTTTATCCGACAAATACATATGAGGACAGATACATAAAAGAGCATGCGGCCAACATTGAACGGATCTAGAAATCCTTGAAGGGTACGCGGCGGGTATCATATTCTTTCCATATAAGGTTATAGGTCATATTTACATTGCGGCGGAATCGCGATTAAATCTTTGTGTTCTCCTCGACGGCAGTGCGTTAATCGATTATCAACCTTATATTTTTCGACCATAACCGTTGTCACGGTGTGTTAATTTGTAAAAAAAATCCATAAATGTCTTATAGGCGGCGTATCATCCTATAGTATGTTGTCAAGTCACTCACGCTGGCCCGCTGTCAAGTTATGAATATCTTATGGACGCATAACATAATATTTACACAGAAATAACGAATAACGAACTGGGTTGATTGGTCCTCGGGGTGGTAGGTAAAATAAGTACAGTTTTATTGATAACCTAATGGTTATCCGTACTTTATGTGCGGAAGCTCGGGCTGTTATTGGATAAAATATATAACGATTTATTTACATTTTTACCGAACCAATTATATTGTATTATTAGAATAATCACTTAATGAGCGTTCTTGCCATTCAACGTTTGGGCGATTAGTGTGTAAATTTTGATCGATTTGTAGTTTATTTTTAAGCGTGCCCTCCAGACGTTTATGGTATTCATCCTGGCGACATGGCGGCGTAGGGGGATCATGGTGGGGGCTGTCCCACGTGTGCCTGGCACGATTCGCGAACCGCGTACCGCACGTTTAGAGCCGGCAAAGTAATGCAAGCGCCCGACCGACTCATATAGCGCAATGCTATTGAATCAATTGACGTTTTCGCACGTTAATTTAAAAGCATACGCTATAATATAGTATTAGTATAGGCGTGGGCCCTCGTCTTTTTTTTTTAGTCGGCACTTACACTCTGCGGTGAAAGGATTTTCCATAGGTTTGTCGCGTAGGAATCTCTGTTTAGGATATTTTTTTAACTCGACGTGAGGGGCGATGCTTACGATTTTGAATTTTATAAGTATGAACTATTATAGTACCCAAGATACAGCTGTTGAACTACTGTACTTTTGACATAATCATGTCTTGGATCAAGAAAAACTTGTCGTGTTTTCACCACGGTAAACGCAACAGCGCGACGCCGTCGGATGTGTCGGACAAGAGTGTCCAATGTGACTTCGACCCAAGCCCAGGCGACGGGGATCAGAGTTTCGTGTACGACAAGGGTCAGTAGTTGTTATGATTTAAGTAGCTTTCATATCGGATCAGCCGAAGAATTCCTATCATAGTGACAAAATGTACTTATAGTTCAATATATAAATACCTTTTCAGTTCCATTTTGAAGTTAAAAATATATTAAGGTGTGTCGCGATGATTTAACTAATACAAATTCAAAGAAATAGCGATTTTTTTTTTCCGAGGTCAAGAATTATAGCCGTTAAGCACTTTTATTTAAAAAAAATTCAAACTTTAATCATCATATAAACCGATACTTCTACTATGTAGGAATTGTTAAAATGCAACATCAAATGTACAAATATAACCATTGTTCGTGACGTGTGTTGACAATTAATTTTGATTAAAAATGTTGGGAGAAGCTAAAAAAAAAGTCAAACTAACTCATTGTGGTCCATAATAAAGGGCGAACATTTATTAATGGTGTACAGTTTCTTATGTTGGTCATCTTCGCCATTCTGTAGCGCTTTCTTTCGTTAAATATAAAAACTTTTTGTCCTACATGGCCTTTTGACTTGGTTTAATTTTTATTATAAGCATTAGTCTATTAAAAATAATGTGTATTAGTTTGACTTTTTCGTCGGTGGTGTGTACTTTTGCTATTCCAGTCACAATAGGCAAGTGCCTATGGTTTTAAATTTTGAAATTTTGATCTCCGGTTTATTTTTTTATTATCTCTAGCATTGTATTATTTGTACATTTCATAAACAATTCATATTTAATTGTGTACACAAATGAAAACTATTAGGATACGATCGGATTGAGTAAATATTTCATAGAGGCCGACCAAACAATATGCAACATTGTGGTGTGGCTAGAATATTGTATTAATTTTGTGTACTAAAATATAACACATGTCAATAAAATTGATTTTACTCTGTCAATGTGTTAGCAGCTAGTGTATTACTGTTAAACGTAATTTTCTAACCTATCTGTATCAGATTAATTTGTTTTATTAAATCATACTAATGAAATGAATTGATTTATTTAAAAAAATGTTTTAATCGATGGAATTTACGCAAAAATTTGATAAGACAATTTCGTTAATTATATTTCCCTTGGTTTTAATTGATGTTATTAGTGGGAGCTAAACTCGATGTGACTTCAACATATCAAATAATTCTACGTCAGTTGTGTTTAGTTTTCAAAAGCACATATTTTATTACTGTAATAAAAAAATATTTTCATTGTATGCCTACTAAATATTGGGAGTTTACATTAAAATAATAACATGTCTGGCTTTTTTGCGACGAGTACACATTATGTGTTCTAGGTCACGTGTTGTGGTCATTTTATCATGTTTATATTGTCCAGTAAAAAAGTGTTGCCATGGTTTCTGTTGTATGCAAAATATACTTGACCCTTTTTTTTATTATAAAATATGTATTTTGTGAACACAAACTGCCCCTGGCGATTGTTGCTTCCTGTTTAATAAGCCTGTTCCCATTGGCAACGTTCTGAAAATAATATCATTAAGACAATGAAAACAAATTTTAATGGTCAAGTTCATTACCATTACGCTCGCGCAAGTAAATCGACTGTTTTCGCTATTTTCTTTTCACCATAATAAAAAAAAACTATTTTGTTATATTAATTGTCATATATTTCATATTAGTAATGGTTACATCATAGCTTTCGTCTATATTAGTGAGTTTTTTTTTGTCTGACGTGTTCTTTTTGTCAAATATACCTTTCCACATATTATTGGACCTGTATTTGATTTATGTAAGATTATAAAGATATGATCTAAAAATAACTTTATAATATTTTATATAATTATTCAATTATTAATAATTATTATAATTTTATTTAATATATATATATATATATATAATTTATTTGTTAAGTATTAAATAAAAATGTGTGGTTATAATTAATGAGTGTACAATTATAGGATAGGATTTATGAAAACAATACAAATGAACCGAATTTCCTGAATAAAAAAAAAACATTTTGTTATATTGAAGCCAGCGAGCTAAAACTTATATTTTAAATTATTTATAGTTGGAAATCTTGATAAACTTATTAATACTTTAATTGCTAATATATTTATTTGTTTCACGTTGATTTTAGGGCGTATACACAAAGCTGTTGTATCTCGAATGAACCCAGATACCAGAAGTATTTCTGTTGAATGGTTAGAGAAAGGTGAAACAAAAGGCAAAGAGGTAAATACTAATAAGTAATAATATTCAATTACTAAATCTCTAAAAACTGTATTTAAAATTATTTAATTAATTTATTTATTTGCAGATTGACTTAGACGGAATATTAGAACTGAATCCACAGTTACGTTCCAATATTCCCAGTCTTACAATGGTTGCTCAAAATGGCACAAATATACCCACTACTAGTAAACTAGCAAGGGTAAGTGTGAATTGAATTGATAATGAGTAGTGATTAAAAAAAAAAAAAATGATATTTACTATGACAATATTTTTCTTTGGCTTGGTCAAGAAGGGTAAAATTCACTTACATACTTTTCGATAAAAACTAGTTGTACAACTAATCTTGTAAATTAAATCACTTTTTTTTGCTATGTTATTATAAAAATCTGCACTCTTAGGAAAATGATGGAAAATTTAAATTCTTAAGCTCATTTGCCAAAATATATAGAAGGTGAGATCGGCCGTCTATTAAGAGGCAAATTATAGGCAATAGTTGATGAAAAATTATTTATAATTTATTTTGATTGACTTTTTTTTAGGTTAATTTGTAGTAACTTTAGGGTGTAATTTAAAAAATATACATTAATGATTATTAAACTTGTTTATTGTTTTAATTAATTGAATTTTTATGTCCTATTTTTTACAGTATTCCACTAAAGCCTCAATACAAGCATTTACTAATAATAAAGGTAATAATGGTTAGAGTATTTATAAACCTTAAAAGTTATATAATCGTATTTACTTACTTGAAAATCCTGTGTGAGAGTGTTGTTAATTTTTAACTCATTTGTTTCTTGTTGATTTTTTTTAATTTACAAAAGAAGTTATGAGTTATAACAATAATTTTATATGTAATTTTAAACAGCTATGTAAACAATTTTAGGTTCGTACAAAGGAACAAAACCAGTCACTAGACAAACCAATCATTTTTCACCAGCAGTCAATGGATCTGGTGAAGTATTATCTACTACAGTTCCATGTACGCCGTTGAACCCACCAACTCAATATCAACAAATACCTGTGTTAAAACCGGCTGATCCACCTCCTCAGACACAACAGCTGACACATTTGTATAGTAACAATACGGCCGGGTCAAATCGTAATACAAACACCACTACAGCAGCGGCTGCAGCTGCCGCAGCAGCTAAAGATCGACGGAGTAATGTCGTAAAAGAAGTAGCTAAGCTTAAAAAAAACAGAGAAGAGAGGCGGCAGCGTCAAGCTGAGCTCAAAGAAGAAAAAGAAGCACTAATGAACATGGATCCCGGTAATCCGAATTGGGAATTTCTTGCTATGATAAGGTTGGACAATCGTAAATTATAATAACTATTAAACAAGATTAATAATAATTCAATATATTTTAATCATATAATTGATTTATTTTAGAGAATATCAATGTAATTTAGACTTCAAACCGCTAAGAGATAATGAAATAGTCGAGGATCATCAAATAACAGTTTGCGTGAGGAAACGGCCTTTAAATAAAAAAGGTAATTGAGTATTATCATTTGACCGTTAAATATATTTACAGTTGAGTTCGTATAAATGTCTAATTGTATTATTATTTTTTTTTAGAACTGAATCGTAAAGAAGTCGACGTTATTGCAATCCCATCGAAAAATCAGGTTATCGTTCATGAACCTAAGAACAAAGTGGATCTTACAAAATATTTGGAAAATCAGCATTTTCGCTTTGACTATGCCTTTGATGAAACTTGCACTAATGAGACTGTTTACAAGTAATAATAATTACATATTATTAAATAGTTATAAAAACTGCAAGCGCTACTAGTTTAAGTTAAAAACATATTTTTTTTTTTTTAGATATTCTGCAAGACCTCTGGTGAAAACTATATTTGATGGTGGAATGGCCACCTGTTTTGCTTATGGACAAACTGGCAGTGGTAAAACACATACGATGGGTGGAGATTTTCATGGAAAAACACAAGACTGTAAAAAAGGCATTTACGCAATGGCCGCTAAAGATGTCTTCCGGTTTTTACATTCACCCAGTTATGCACCGTTGAATTTAGTAGTTACTGCTAGCTTCTTTGAAATTTACAGTGGAAAAGTAACTTTTTTAATTTTCTAAATTAAAATAAAATCTTATGTAACATGACCCTTATTTATTATAATATGATAATTATTTATTTATCTTGTCGTAGGTATTTGATTTGTTGGGCGATAAAGCTAAATTAAGAGTACTAGAAGACGGAATGCAAAAAGTGCAGGTAGTTGGTCTCACTGAAAAGGTGGTTACTACCGTGGACGAAGTACTAAAATTAATTAATGACGGAAACAGCGCTAGGTGAATATCATTACTTTTTACTTTGTAATTTATTTTGTTAATCATTTTAACATTTTTGTTTTTAGAACTTCCGGTCAGACATCGGCCAACAGCAACTCGTCACGATCACACGCTGTTTTTCAAATAGTTTTGCGCTTACCCGGTTTGAATCAAATACATGGAAAGTTTTCTTTGATAGATTTAGCTGGAAACGAAAGAGGAGCCGATACGTCATCAGCAAATAGACAAACGCGTAATTAAATACTAATAATGAATACTTATGTGTATAATATTAAATCTGTATTAAAAGCAATTTTTATGAAAAAAGGGTAGCCCTGCTTTGTGTGTGTGTGGAGTTTAAACATCAAATATTATGATACTTACATTCAAATTTGTCGTTTTAGGAATGGAAGGTGCGGAAATCAATAAATCGCTTCTTGCTCTGAAAGAGTGCATTCGTGCTTTGGGTAAAAAGGGTTCTCATTTACCATTTAGAGCAAGTAAATTGACACAGGTACTTAGAGATTCTTTTGTTGGTGAAAATAGTAAGACCTGTATGGTAAGTAAATCTTTGAAATACTGTTTTTTCTAACTTAATTCAAATTTATTATTTTTTTATTCAATATACAGATAGCGATGATAAGTCCTGGTTTGAGCTCATGCGAACACTCTCTGAACACGCTCCGTTATGCAGACCGCGTTAAAGAATTAGACGCCTCAGATCCAGTTGCTGGAGAAGCACAAGCTACTGCGTACTCCCCGGCTAGTCATACACCAAACGCGTCTCGCAATCTACAAGACGTTAGCATGGTTGATGATGATTTAGCTGCTCTCAGGTCGCTCAATGTGAGTATTTAATTTTTACACGTTATGATTAGTTTTGTTTGTTAATAAACAAACATGTCTACTACAGGAAGGAGAATTATCTGCAGACTTGTATAATTTCCACGAAGCCGTTTCTCAGTTGCAAGAACAAGAAGATGAAATGTTAGACAAGCACAAGGCGTTAATAGATGCCGGCCAGAAGTGGTTACAGAAAGATAAACAGCTATTGACAATGACTAGAAATGTTGACTACGATCAGGATGGTAACAACGATAACAAAACCTCTTTATTTATAGTTCTACAATTTTTAGCTTTACCAATTGCTTATGCTTTCTTTTTTATATTTATACTTCCAATATTGGGAAATGGCTATTTCGAGGTCATATAGTCAAAATATCTTTGTGTGTTAAAGGTCCTAACATTTTTTGGTTACCCTTCTTAATTAGAGAAGAACATTCATTGTTCCCAAAGACAGTATTATTAGTTTGTAGTAGCTTTGATTTTAAAGCATGATTTTTTTATTATTATTAATATTTGGATAGTTATTTATACATTCATATTTTATGATTTAGTGTTGCCATTAACTTGTTTACATTCCATAACCTTTTTTTGTAGATGTTTAAAATAATATAATTTATAACCATAGTATTTTGTATTCGACCAATATTTATTAACTTTTTCTTATTTTTGTATTTTTGGTGAGTTATATTATATTAAACATTATTTTCTTTGATATTTTTAAGCCTAAAATTTCAATCTATTAATATTTACACGATTCATTCCAAATTATGAATTAAGTGTCTATTATAAAAATGTAATAAGCCGTTAAAGAAGTGTGAGAACAAGTAGATGGGAGAAAGTTGGTGAATTCTGTACCATAACTAATTAAGAAACATAGATAAAGTTATAAATTAAACGCCTTAAAATTACTGTCTGTATATAAAAAAAATAAAAATGATATATACAATTTTTGTGTGTGACAATAATGAATTAAAGCATATGCTAAATGTACATCAATAAATTGTATTTAATCCATTAGTATTAATTATTAGCACAAATTTATTGAACAATGAGTGAATGAGTTGAACTATATTTTCAACATTATATATTGTAATTTTGTAGTCGTTCTAGTATTTTCTTCTTTTGCTATTGTTTACTTTTAAAAAAAAATATATATTGTTGAAAAACGAACATGCATTATATAATATTATTACTGTAGACACATTAATGTAATTTCTTTTACTTGCTTTTTCTTTTATTCATTGTTAATTACATTTGAATTTAAAACTTGTTTTGAACGCCGCCACGGTAAACCTTTTTCGTGATAACAAGACGTGACTTTATATTTTGAACTTAAGCTTGGTATGCTTTTATTGTTTTGTGCCCATATTGCACGCGCGTGTTTTATGTAATGACGTTATTTTACTAAGTGGGGCCACTAAAATAGTTATGTTTTAAAATTATTGTTTTTCCAGCGTATTCATTGCAACTGCTCAACTTGTTGCAAGACAAACTGACCGTCACACAAGATTTGATCGAGACCGTGCTCGGTTTTAGAAAACAGCTGACAACCGAGGAGCAATTCAGTCAGAACATAGTGAGAGGTGGACATCGATAAGATGTTAACTATTTACGACGCCAACAATAAACGTTTGTCAAGGCTTGTTTGTAATAGAAATTGAAAGTAGAGAGGAAACGCTAATCATCATACGATTACTACTGATATTGTTACTACTACTATTACTACTATGTGATTTTTTTTTTGGTGATTCTACTATTATTATTGCCCATGAACAATGGAGCAAATGTTTATCGGCTTTACCTATCCAATAATTTACATTTGTTTTAAATTTTAACCTAAAAAAAAAAAAGAAAATAAACTAAAAAGGTATTATTGTTGTACGTGCATTAAATTTGTTCTTCTAACTTAAAAATCTTTAGTTTTTTTTTTTTTTATTGTATTTTAACAAAATCATTTTATTGATTATTTTTTATTTGAATATTTGCATATTAATTTAATCTATTACAACAGTCGTTTAATTGTTAATTAATATTAAAATGATATATTTATAATATATATATATATACACATATAAGATAGTAAACCTAAGTTAAAAAATTCAACACGGGTCACATACCATTAAATTTTTTATTTAAACGTGTATTTGTAAATAATATAACAGTGCAGAGTAATACTTAATTATAGAAACTTTTTTAATTGCTTAGATAGACTGGCTCTAAATGTTGAATGTAATTTTTTTAACATTAATTTTAATGCAAGTCGTATGTTTCTTTGATTAATAATGAAAACAGTATACTTTTTTAAACAAAATTATAATTGACTTATTTTTTTCTAATACCTCTTCAACTGGTTTAACAGTTCTATGTATAAAGTACTTAATCAGAGGCAATATTAAATTTAAAAATTAGGTCAACTGTATGACTAAACAACTGCGTTGTTGTTTTTAACTCTCATCATATTATAATTTCCTGAAGATATTAGATTTAATTAAGAGTGTTTTTTCTTAAAACGATATGGAACTTTTTTGTTATTTTCAGTTTAGCTAATTATTATAGTAGGTTATGTAAAATTTAGAACGCTTGTCGTAATATGTAAATGTATTTTTATTAAAATAACCTAGTTAAAGTTAAGTTTGTATTTTACAAAATTTTGATGCAACTTTAATCATCACCATAGCCACGGCAATGGACATCAACTGTAATGTCGTTTTGAATGTAAATATTTCGTCTAAAGAGTTGATACTGGAAAGGGTTTGGCCGCTTTGACAGCATATATAATTGTACGGCATCAAACCTATGTAGAAACAAACATTAAACTGTAGTTAGATGATAAGTCATTGGTTGTTGCAAAATAAATCTTACCAAAAAATGTCGTATACATAAAAGTCCATAATGGAATTTTTATAACTGGCGCAACCAAATTTAATAACCAATTTGGCGTAATTGGAATCACTCGTAAAACTGTAAGAAGATACCATAGCTGGTCTTGGTTTTTCTTCACCTTTAAAAATAATATAAAATATACAAATTAGTTGAATTGCGTTTAGAGAATACGACCGTTACAACCGAACATTTAAATTGAGCGTTGATTGTAAATTCTATTATTTATAAATTATAACCAATGACAATAGTTTTTGGACATTCTTATTTAACAGAGGCTGCGCGTAACGGATCTGATAAGTTTATACACCACTCATTAATTTTATATAGAAATACCTAAAATTCATACAATTCATTTGTAAGGTTATATAATGATTATATTGGATGATGAATTTTGGGCCGCTGAATTTGATTATAATGTGCTGCTTCAAAATGTATTCTTTAAAGCATACACTGTAATTCAAAACCATATCTATACAATGGACATACCAAATTTTCTAATGAAATTTTAGCTGAAGTCAATTGACTAGGTAGAAATTGCGTTATAACTTCTTCGAGACCACACAATTTAGACATACAATAACATGCCGACACGCCAATACTCGATAAAATGCATACTAACAGGAATCCGTAGCCCGTTCCGAATAACGATCCTGCTAACACATTCTGAAATCATTCAATTGAGAAAAAAAATAGAACATTAATTATAATACTATAATCAAATGTATTGAATGGAAATTTAGTGTCCTTACCAATATTATCGAACCAGGAATACAGAATGTCTGTTTAAATATATAAATACTGCTGTACAAAGTCAAAATGTAGAGGTAGTTGTTTTGGTAATATTGTTTTAAACATGAGTTTAATTTGGTGATATCATCCATTTTTTTTGGAAATAGAAAATTGATCGTACACTTAACATACAAATTTTAGTTAGAACAAGAAAAAAGTTATTAGAATTTTAAACAGTTTATATACTTGATTTTCTGTGATTGGCGCTTGCTGTATAAGATAATATATCCATATTAAAGAGGCAGAGAGCAGAGGAACAAGTGAGAATACACGTAAAACTGCCATCTAATCAAAAGAAACAATTTTAATAAAAGTTGTTCAATTATTTACATTCAACATCCTAATATTACAGTTATAATGTAGGTATTAATTTATTTTATACACACTTTTATAATACAATAGTATACATATATATAATACATTAGTTGTACTAAAACTACATTTTCAATTTAATTATGCATTAATTTTAACACTATTGCCTTATAAATATTCTATTTATTAATATAATTACTTTCTCCGATATATCTAGGTCTATTTTAAATTAAGACTAATAACTAACAAGTGAAATGCACTAGTTAATATTAGATTAAATTTAAAATGTTACAGTCTAACAAATAAAAAATAATATAATATATTATTTTATATTACATTCGGTGCCATACGGTAATAATAAACAAATCACTGGGCTACATTATTCCGTGGTTGCGCATAAATTGGAATCTAATGAAATCGATAAAAGAATATTAGATAGAATAAAATGATGTAACGTTTTAATAAAGATATTTAGATTTTAAAATAAATTCAAAATATTTGTACAATTAGTAGAAACAGCACATAAGTGTTGAATGTTGATCGAATTGATTATTGAAATATTGTTATCGGTTATTATCTTATCAGTCAACGCCATCGCCGTTATCACGATAATGAAAAAATGAACAGATATTATCTATTCTGTGCAGGTACGCCCACGATGCAAAGTGGTCTAGAATCCGAAAAGGGCGATCGAAAATGGGTTTTTCAAAATGGTCGTAGAGTCCTAATTTGTCTAGTAGTTATTAACTAAGTACTGTAGTATATAAAAATACACGTTTAAATTGTTTTTAATTTTTTCGCTACTCTACTGAGTTCAAGTGGAGATGACGGTACACGATACAAAGCTCCCACCGTCGTTCAACAGCGAAAGATGGAGAAGAGGGTATATGTATATCCCGGACATAATTTTTGTAAATATCAATACTAAACAACAAAGCAAAACAAATTTCGAAGCACCAATACCAAATTGCCAACACAGACCAATAACAAGTCAGATGAATGCTATTATATATCCAGAAAACGTACCGATGATAAGACGCTATAACTTCAAAAAGCCAACTGGGGAAATTTTAAGACAACTGGAAACTGAAATAAACAATATCATCCTAATACCTGAAAATTATGACTAATAAAGAATTGAGGCACGCAGCGTTGAGCGCAATTGTTGCCTAATCAACAAATATAAATATAATTTATAAATTAATTATTAGAATGCACTTTATACAATTTATTTAATCTAATTTTCATTAAATTAATTACTAATTAATTATGCTGACTTATTTAATAGTTAATTTTTAATCAAATTAAATTAAATTAGTTATATTTTTATTATTTTAATAAAATTAATTTACATAGTCTACAAAGTATACTGAAACCACCGAATATAACAACAGCTACTATAGCATTGCATCGAACTTAACATTTTGGACACTGCTAGTATGCCAACATAATTTATTCATACACACAAACGACTTATTTGTTTTTTTAATGATAAGAATCGTGCAACCGTCTTTTCTAAAGGTAGGGCTGCTCGACAGGGCAGGGCGACTGCTAGTCGACAAAACTACCCCCAAAGGCCTATTTTTCTATTTAAATCATGGTTTTTCATGTTCCTACGACGCGCGCAAAAATGGGCCCCATCCGAAACAGAGCTACCAACGTAAACGTAGCTCCAGGTGCAATATTTTTTTTTGTAGAAATGTCGATGAATTCGTTTTCTTCGCCATGAATCCATGATAACGACGTTATCATATTTTCTTATCAACCGTCACCGATTTCATAAAGGATAATTATTGCACGAGGGCCCGGCGGGGTTTTTGAGATTTCACCGAAAATACAAATGTGAACTAAGTGTTTTTATTTAAATTTAATTCTAGTTTGTAGTCTTATGATTTTGGTTGGCCGTAAATCTGGTTAAAATCAACTAGGTATGTTTCATTTAAACATGTTTATTATTTTCACTATTAAAACATCCCCCAAAACGTTTTTGTATTCTAGTAAACGGCACATGGTGGTTAAATACTTGGGAATAGTTTAAACTGCATGGCTAGTTATGTTTGATCCCCTTACTAGCAATTGTTACACACCGCTAAAAGTCTCAAGCGTTTCAAACTGTAATGCATTATGTGTTTTAATTGCTGGTTTAAGGTAAATTATATTTTGGTTCTATTATTTTAGGTGTTTGTCTAAACAACCATGGCCAAAACTTTAGTAAGTCTGGTTACAGGAGCGGCTTCAGGGTTAGGAAAAGCTACTGTTGATAGACTTGTATCAGAGGGCTACAAAGTGATAATGTGTGACTTGGCAACTTCTTCGGGAAAAAGTGTAGCCGACTCGATAGGTCCAAATGTTAAATTTGTACCAACCGACGTTCGTTCTGAAGCCGATGTCCAAAATGCAGTTGATGTTTGCCATGAATTGCATGGGAAACTTAATTTAATCGTAAACTGTGCTGGAATCAGTGTTGCACGCAAAACGTACAATTTCAACAAAGGCAGTGCCCACGAATTACAAGAGTTTTCCAACTTGATGATGGTAAATGTCGTCGGTACATTTAACGTTTTACGATTAGCCGTCGGGCTCATGGGTAAGAACGAAATTGATGAAAATGGTGAAAGAGGTGTCATCGTCAATACATCAGGATTTGCGGCGTTCGACGGTCAAATGGGCCAAGTCGCATTGTCAGCTTGTCATGGAGCTATAAATTCCATGACTTTACCATTAGCCAGAGATATGGCATCACAAAAAATTCGACATTGCACTATAGCTCCTGGGCTATTTGATACACCATTGACACAATTTTTACCCGATAAAGTAAAATCGTATTTTGCCGATATGACACCACTTCCGAAACGAATGGGACAACCTGAAGAGTTTGCCAATCTTGTTGTGAGCGTTGTAAATAATCCTTTTCTTAATGGTGAAGTAATTAGATTAGATGGAGCACTTAGATTCATTTAATGTAAACACTTAAGACTGGGTTAACCTTACACATTATAGTATGTGTATAAATAATGGAAATTATCTTAAGTTTTTGTATCCGTTATTAGTGTAGGAAAATAAATTATTTTTTACTTAGAATTTGTTGTGTTTTGAAATTATGATTAAGATCTATAAAACAATGTAAAAATAATTGAAAACAAACATTATCACGAAATTCATATACATACACGGCTTATGGAAAATGTGTGTACCATACACATTAGGTATGAAACGGGCCTAGTGCACGTTTAGATTAAATTATGTCTAAATAATCAACAAGCAATTTTCCTAAAAGATTAACAGTTTTTTTACAAACATTTATTGCTTAATAGTACATAAAAAAAAAAAAAAAATAGTTTTGGAAAATATAAATAAAATGCAATGTATACAAAATACTTAAATCTAATGTTAGAAATGAACAATAAGGTTAAATAAATAAAATTAGGTATACTATTCACCTATTATTTTTATTTAATTGGCTTACAATGATTTTACTTATTGTAAATCGCAATTTTAAGGTGTTATTTTGTATAGTAGAATATAAATATATTTAAATAAGTGTAATATTAATAATAATTGTTTAAACTTCATCTTTTTCTTTAGCACCATGTTTCAAAATACGTGTGAATTCAATGTAATTAAACATTCCTTTAGATATTGGAGCTTCACGATACATTTCATCAACCTAAAATGAATATTAAATCTTTTATAGAAACATAATAGCTCAGTAATTTGTTTGCTAAAATAAACGTTTAAAAATGATGTATAATGGATAAATAGCGTTGATTTTAAATTGCACCAACAATATAAACAATGGTAATTTAAAAAATGTTACATACGTCTTCGTCGGTGAATCTATCTCCCATTGTGACCAAAAGCTCTCGTAGACGTTCTTCGTTAATAACACCTTCATTGTTTTCGTCAAAACAACCGAAGGCGTTTTTTATTACATCTTCTGGATCTGTCCCTTGAAGTCTTTCGCCAAACAATGTTAAAAACATAGTGAAGTTAATAGGGCCTGGAGCATCATTCATCATACCTTCTAAGTATTCGTCAGTTGGATCCTTGCCTAGAACGAAAATTGTTGTTAATTTATACAGTTTACGTAAATATGATAATTTTAAAAATAATTTTACCTAAAGACGCTAGCATATCGTGCAAGTCTTCTTTATCAATAAACCCATCGCGGTTTTGATCTATTAAATTGAACGCTTCTTTAAATTCTTGTATCTGTGCTTGCCCAAACATGGCAAACACATTAGACGTAGCGCGCTGCGCCCGTTTCTTTGTGGTTGCCCTCCTCACTGCCGTTTTACGTGACATGCTTGATTCGCTCTGAAACATTTACAAAGTACCTAGTTATAATTTTTATAAATATAAAATTTGTATCAAACAAGGTTAGAATTAAATTTTGTTTTCCGATTTATACTAATGAGGACATCACACAGACTTTTTTCAAAAGGAAAAAATTATTTTAGAGCTAAAATTATTTTGTTAATGTATTATTAGAATGTTATTGAAAGTTATTAGTTTATTGGTTGTTATTTTTTTCATCATACTATCACAGCTTTTTCAAAAATTCAGATTGAAAATATTTTCTTAGCTTTTTGAAAAGACGGAAGCTGTGTTCTCTCGAAGTTTTTTCAATTGTTTTAAGGTTAAATAAATTGTTTATATTTTTAACAAATAAAAATAAAAACTACTTATTATGAAATAAAAATAAAACTATAGAAGACATAATATAAGTTATGACGCTAACGATTTTACACAAAAAAAGGCATCCTATGTGGATTTTTTAATTTGTATATTTCTATACATTTGATAAACCTACTCCAGATTAGTAATAACGATATAATTATTATTAATATTTAGTCATTGACAATTTTGTAGACAATAGACACAATTATAGGCATATGTCAGAAATGTAAACAGTTTGAAAACAAACAAATCTGGTGCCTAATAAAATGTTCAACGTTTTTGGTACATTCCAATATGTTGCTAAAGTCGAACAAAAAAATATTTTGTTGACACGACATATTTTAATTTTTGTTTTTATTTAAGGTATGCTATGCTCAAGGACAAGTCAAAAACATAAGAACAAAATAAAAAAATTATTTTTGTTTTACTTCACTAGGATACAGGTATAGTTTACTAACTAATGTCGACGTGCAATAATATTAAGCTGATAGGTATGTCATAACAATGGTATCAAACAATAAGATGTCGTCGGTGAATCATTAACCTTATTCTGCCTATTCCAGCATACCTGTCAAATATCTCTGATGACGACTAATAGGTTGTAGGTACCTCTTGCTATTTATTTAAAAATTGACCCTTATTTAAATTTTAGACAAAACGTTACGTTTGCTTTACAAAAAAAAAAAAAAAACAAGCGACAAGATCTAGGACAATAAGAATTGTTGTGTTACACTGTTTTTATACCTTATATGGTAACGTTTCTATCGACCTTATACAGTTGGCGCGATTTAATAAATCGTGCCATTGAAGGTGTTTTTTTGTTTTAAACTACCATAAATGATGTACTCACAATTTTGATGTTTAACGGGAAACGGATTATGGAGAAAAAATTGTCGCTTTATGGTTCTCGCCGGAGAGCCACGTACAGCAGCGATGCGTAGACGGTTTTCGGACTTGTCGTTCTGGAAGACAAACGGAACGTACTGGCGCGGCCCCTGTCGTTTGCTTATCGGTTAATCGCGTGAGTCACCACCTGTCACCAGTTTGTTCGACTTGCACTGAAGTCGTCACGAGTGGAAGGGAGTCGAGTTAACGTCGAGTCGTGGGTAAGCACCAAGTACGAGAAAGTAGGCAGCACAATATGTAATATATGCTGCAGTACACGTTTTACAGTAAAAATTAATAACAATACCGACCGTCGCAAGTCGTACGCACAGATGATAAACGGGTGAGGCGGCGGAGTACCCCGCCCGGGCCGGCCCTCCCCACCGTAAAGTGATTCGAGTGGACTACGTTGTTATCACCGTTCGCCGTAAACGACAAGAGATTCCGCGTGTTGGCTACACTGTTGGACGACGTCCTCGCGCGTCAAACGTGGCCAGCCTGTATTTAATTAACAATCATAATAATTTCACACTCATTTTGGTATGTTTTTCGGCGAGATCTCGTGAAACACACTATTTTTCATTATCAAATACATCAAACCATAATAACATTTAAGTCAATCTCTCCACGCGATTTTCTTCCAACGTTTGGACTATGAATTGTTAGTTCTTTGTTTTTTTTTACCGAGTTCGGCTGATGCTCAAACACTGCCCGAAAAGTATAAAAGAGAAGACGAATAACCTAGTGGACTAACATCGCCGGCAATCGCCATGATAACGGTAAGTGGCTAAACAAAAAAAAAACATGCTCGAAACTGTATTAATTAGACGTTAAGCGAGAAATTCGTGAAACTCAAAACCGCCGGTTTTGGTCGTACCAATTTCTCGGAGCTGAACCTTAAACATAATCGGGTACGGTTCTGACTTATCGTTACATTACATTGTTCGTAAGTGCTCCGTTGGTCGTTTACTATTTATGGTATCGATGTGAAAGCTAGTCGCCAGATTGATACTTCTGTACTTCTACTACTGTACATGGTAGTGTGACATAATAAATAACTTTTCATAGTAAGTTTCTCATTCTATTCAATCAGTACCACTGTCTATGTAGTAGGTCTACACCGGCAGGAGGGTGTATTATATAGTGTTAGTAGTCGGTGAAATTATTGATTTTTTCATGCTCGTAACATTGACCTTGACCCTTATTTTGTGATGCTGTTACTGGTCCTGGATGTTATCTGGAACAAATAAGTTATTTCTACAGGGTGCTCCACAAACTGATCAACATATTTGTCATTTGTATTATATCACCCAGTACAATATTTTTAATAACAAACATATCCTGTATAGTAAGAACACGTCTTTGATTTTACTTTAGTTTATTAATTTCATTATTCTGCTTATTTAATTTATAAATATAATATTACATTAACTCACGAGTGATATATTTCATGCTCAAAAAATTAGTTTTCAGTTTAGCCTTGAAAAAAAGTTTTCATTTTATTCTGTGCTTGCCTACATATTATATGTTTTAATAACTTAATAGTCATTGATTGATGTTAACTGTACATTTTAGATCTCAAGAAGTTGTTATTTACTATCAAATTTATTATATTATATCCTATAGTAATAAATGTATACTTTATTAATTTTTCAGAAAAAATGTGCTCTTTTTTAATTTTGGAAGGGCCTTAAATTAAAAATAAGTATGTATATCAAGCCGACTCCACACCTATGCACCTTTTTTTTCCATCAAATATATGAGCTGTGTTAAAAGGAAGCTGCATAGACGTGGACTCGGCTTCGTATACATATTTATATGAATTTGTAACTACAAAAAGGATACTAAAAATTTGTTTTTTATTTAAATATAATCGGCTAATACTTGAATATACACTATCCAAAATAATTTGTGGTTCTAGTGTATGGTCAGTGATCATACCAAACTTTTGGGCTTTACTCAATAAATGAATATGCCTTTTATTAATATTCTCTTGCTCGTGCAAAAATTCCTAGACCTAGAACCGCACCTGTTAATTTGTTAGGAAAAAAACAAAATCATAAATCATTTTTAAAAACATGGTTCATCTATTTTGGTTCGGCCAGAATAAGGCGAATATTTATGTAAGGTTGGATCTAATTTTGCATATTAAAAAAAAATATTTGGTAAAAAACATTTTACCCTGTTTGGTAAAATTTACATTTTAGACTTGTAAATTAAAAATCACTGAAATGTTTAATAAATTACCTACCTATTGTCTACAGTTATAAATTAAAAAATTATTACTATATTTAATAGCCTGAAATTCATTGTCTGTAATAATTTTTGCATTTTAAAACACTGTAACTTTATATTTGATAAATGTCTCCCCCTAAAAAAACGTTGCATCTTAAGATAACAGCTGTATATAATATGTAAATATTTGTTGTTATTGTTGATTTGTATTTTACATTATAATATAACCCTATTGCGTTTGAGTGTTGTATTAAGGTTATATGTTTCAAACGGCTTTGTACTTGCCATACGTTTTTCATGCGAGTTAACAAAAATTATTTCCTACACGTTTGTCCCAAGTATGACACTAAAAGTATATAAAATAGTGTAGATTAAATTTGGTGGAAAGTTAACAATAATATAACAAGAAATTACATTTATTTCAATTTTGAATACATAGTATTTAATTAATTTCACAGCTCACTAGTTTACACAGCACAAAATAATCATTTCAGTTTACAAAATACACACATTTGTCGACGTTTATTTATACAACATCATTCATATGACTGGATATATGAATTTATTATATACTTATAGCTGTTATTGTACTCATCATCAACATGCTGAAGTATATATTATGATCAATTGTGCTATAATACGTTTCTACCTTTTTACATTACTATATAGATTAATATTTACAAAAATACAATTGATTTAGAATATGCCGTAACAAGTTACACTATCGAATCGCTACGCCGTTTATAGTGACGGTAGCTCCGGAATGGTCTGATTTCGCCTTGGAAACTGGCGAAGGTTCATAATAACTTGTAGGTTCGTCGTAAGTGTAGTCTGTAACCGAATCGTAAATATGATTCTGTACATCACTGAGTGACGCATACGACATAACTGCGGTATTTTGTTCTTCTTTGCGCAAAGCTCCTTCTACGTTTTCTGTATTTTTAACCGGAGTCGGTTTTTTCCTGTATGCAAAAAAAAAACAAATTATTAGATGCATCATAAGAATAGTTTTTTTTTTTTTGTTATTATTATTAATTTTATCCCTTTGATCGAGATTTACTTACAATCTTAAATAAATTAAAGCAAGGAGAATGACTAGGAACAAAACTACGCCACCGCCGACGCTGACAGCCAGCCCCAACGTTCTACTGTCGCTAGTAATGGCGTTCACAGCTACAAAAGAAACAAAAACAAATTCATTGGTCGTGCTGCACATTTTTTTTAATTGCTGCTAAAAAATGATAGTGTCTAGTACACATACGTTGACAGTAAGGCTGCTCCCCCGACCATTGACCGTCGTCCAAGCATTTTCTTAAGTACGGTCCTACTCGTTGGAAATGCGGAACGCAGTGGTATTCTGCCGCACTGTTGTACGTCGTCGTGTCGTTCATTACTATAACTCGACCGTTTTCGATTGGTCCCGGATGTTGACAGTCGATCACTGGAAATTTAAATTTGCATCACAATATTTATCATCTATATCCGACGACGAATAATATGAAAATAATTGTTTACTTTGGCAAGTAGGAGATCGTCCGCTCCACGATCCTTTGGGGAGGCAATGCCTGGTGGTGTTGTCGGTGGTGAAATAACCTTTGGAACAAGCGTAATGAGCCGTACCGCCCACCGTTCTGGACAAGACTTTGATTGAAAAGTTGTTGCCGTTCCTGAGCTCCTCGCAATTGATTTCTACAAAAATCAAAATAAATTAACACGGTCGATTAGTCGACAATAAATCACTGTGTCGTTGTTTACCTTGGCACCTGGGAGTTTCCGAACTCCATGTACCGTTGTCGAGACACAGTCGTCTGCCGTGCCCGTCCAGTTCGTAGTGTTCATCGCAATCGTAAATGACGGCCGATCCGTAGTACGTGACGTTGGACACGAGATTGAATTTCCCATTGTCGATGCTCTGAGGGACCCCGCAATCCACGTCTAAGACAGAAATTAGAGGAAAAAAAATAACGACGATCATTATCATTATTAAACCGGTGGTTCAGCTCTTCCGAATTCACTTACAGATGCACTGCGGTGTAACGCCGGTCCATGCGCCGGTGTCGTCACAGTTGCTAATAGCTTCGCCGACCACCTTGTAACCTCTCTCGCAGCGATATTTGACTAGAGCGCCGATTTTGTACGTAGAAGACGAAACCGAATCCGACGACGTTCTGATCAACGTGCGACCGTATAGCCGATCGTTGTTGGTCACCGACAGTATACTGTGATCCGGTAGTATTGGCTCTGGACATCTAATTTCTGCGTTGGAAAACAAGAAGCCGTCGTATAGTGTCTTATATGTAAGTATTTTATTGCGATCAAACAATCCTCCAATGACGCTTAACCATAACCCGTCTTGTGTCCTATAAATATGGGTTTTGTTCATGGAACACGCGAACGAAGTGAAACTTAACAGCGGAGATCAATTGATAAGAGATTGGAATGATAGATTATAGAGTATAATTCTGCAATGCTTGATCAAAAACATAAACTCGGAAAATGTTTACGGAGATATAAAAATGGGTTAAAATGCCATTATTTTAATGATATTAGTGCACGAAAAATCATTTCAATTTGCTAAAAATATGACTGGACTATTTTTGATTTTGACTTAATCCTTTTATGTTGTAATTAATCCGTCCGGATCAAAAAGCTTAAAAGGCGTGATAGTGTCCTAGCCACCCTTTGGAGGTAGGTGAAAAAGAAAGGATCGGCCGATAAAAGATAATCAATGATAGATTCACTTATCTACTGTGACATAACGTCGAGCCCGTCGCGGGAACCCAGTACTTTATAAGAAGTTACACTTTTAAAAGCCGAGTTTTTTTCGTTATACATAAACCCTATTAAACCCACGTTTTTTATGCAAACCAAACCGCTTGCTGGGCTTAAACAAAAAACCCGCTGAGGTCGTCCATGAGTTAGATCTATGATTTTGACACAATAATAAAACACAAGAAAAAAGCCTTGTACCTTCGCATCTTGGAGCCGTTCCGCTCCATGCTTGGCTCTCCAAACAACGGCGAATGGCCGCCCCTGTCAATCTATAGTTGTTGTTGCAGCTGTACCTGACCTCGCTGTCGAGGTGAGTCGTTTCGTTGGAATAGTGTATTGTGCCGTAAACGGGAGGCGTGAGTTTACCGCAATCGATATCTGATCAACAAACGTGTACACGAGTTAATTACGACGCGCCAAGCACAAATGGGTAACTGGCGAGAGTCTTATTTTTTTTAATACGACCGTAGAAACCGTATGATATGATTTTTACTCACATTGACATTCCGGCGGCGATGAATTCCATTCTCCGTTGCTGTTGCATTGTAACACCGACGTACCGATTAGCTTGTGGCCGGCGTCGCAATGATATTCGATGCTCGAATGGATATTGAAGTCGTAGCCGACCACATAACCTCCAGCCGGCACCTCGGGCTCTTGACAAGTGATCACTGTTCATTAAAAAAAAAAAAACAACGGTTAAAGGTTAATTGATATTATTGTACTCGATGATCGATGGTCCAAGACGATAAAACGTCGCGTTTGGTATTACTTTACTTACGTTGGCACGAAGGCGGATCCGCGGACCATTTAGCTTCTTTGGTACACATCTGCCGGCGGCTAGTGTGTGGCTGAAGCCAATAGTCTTGCTCGCACGTGTACTCGACTATGCTACCGTGAGTGGTCGTGCCGTTGATCAAACTTACCTGACCGTTTTCGATTATTTGTGGCGGCCCACAGTCCACGAACCGACATACCAACGGTTTTCCTGACCACTCTCCGCCGAGTCCGCATTTGAGTTCCTTCGGAGAAGTTTCAAGTCAATAACGATGGTCTAAACAACAATTGTACCGTTACCCCTTTTGTACGTACTTGCTGTCCTCCCACAGCTACGAATCCTTGATGGCAAGAGTATGCGGCTATGGACCCGGACTTATGACCCGAGACGGTCACCGTAGCTCCCGACACTTCGGCCGGATCTCCGCACCAATCGACTGTACAAATAAAAATACAACGCTGATTATTTCGACAAAAAGCGAGGCCGACTCGGGAAATGTCGAGACCGAGAGCAACCGTTTCACCGACAAATGTATGCCGTAAAATATAGTCAAACATATCCGTCGATAATGCTATGAAATTGTCATACTTACACAAACATTGTGGGGTGCGTCCACTCCATTTCCCGTCTTCGGTGCAAACTCTTTTCGAGTCTCCGTTAGATAAACTGTAATTTTGATTACAAGAATACTTGGCCGACGCTTTGTATGTGGTTCGGCCGTCTTCCAGGATTATCGAACCGTTTTCGATACTGTTCAGCGGTCCGCAGTCGACGTCTGCAAAGGTCGTAGGAGGTTAAAAATTAAACAACGTTTCTTTAAAGTAAAATCCAATTGCTGCTAGTTTTTTTACATTTGCAACTCGGTGCCGTTCCCGTCCAGAAGCCGTTGGCTCCACACGTTCTTTTGGACGAGCCCTGTGTGTAATGACCTTCCGGACAAACATATTCGATGACCGACGACACCTTAAAATTGTAAGGACTCGCGATGGTGCTGTTGACTTTGATGTCGGGACTACCGCAAACTGTTGGCGCTGTTCATTAAAAAAAAAAAAAATTCCCCACTGTGTTATAACCATTAATCTTAACGGGTCGTTGTCGATCACACTTACTGTATTGACATATCCAATGCAAATAGTCCAAGTTGCAACCGACGTCGTTCCACAACCATTCCCGGCCCCCGTCGAGAACCACGCAATTCTGTTCGCCGTTGTAGTTGTTCGGTTGGTCTTTTCCCCAAGTCGGTTTGGTTATCACTTCACCTGATTATTTTCAAACGCAAAGACGTTAGTCAAGCTACATAGTCATCAAATCAATTGTAGGTCATCTTCCTAGCAATGCATTTCTCTGTATACTATGCTTTCTTCATTGGTTTGACTATGTCATTTTCAACCATATCGATCTGTTCTCACTTATTTGCTCTACTGGTGCAACTCCTATGTATTCTACATGTGCAACTCTTTTCCAACTCTTTCTAATCATCACTCATCCGTCTCATCATTGTCATTCCGTTTCACTGTCGCCTCTCTTATTACTATCCAATGCCAACCTGCTTCCATACATCATTGATCATTGCTGGCCTCTGCCCTTTCCCTATAAACTAGTGCACTCTTTCTCGACACCAACCTCTCATCCGACCGCACTTTATTCTAAACGGCGGTTTTCTATTTCTCACCGTGTTCTCCGTTCTCTCGAGGTGAGCGCCCGAATCCGGCACGCGTCCTCTCCCCCTCCCCCCCCCAGGTTTAGAGAAGCAAAAGTCAAATTATACTCACCGTTAACCCATTTCCAAGTGCGCGAAGTCAAGCCGGGCTCCTTTTGCACTCCGATCCAGATCAGCTGTGTCTTGAGCCGGGGTTTGCGCCTTTCCAATTCGGCCGCCAAAAACGTCGATGCCGAACCCCTGAAACCGTGAGCCAGGTCGCCACTCGAAGCCTGACACTTTTGCCGGGCGTCCGAAAACGAAGAACCTTTGTTCACGTTGAACTCGTAGCACTTGTTGTCGAACACGGCCACGTCGGTTTGCTGTGACGAACTTCCCGGAGCGCAACGGTCAACGGAAAATTCTAAAAAAAAACGCGGTCCGACCGAATTGTGAGTAAATAAGTGATCAAGCACAACCCTGAAATCCCGGCAAATGTTAGCATTGCAAGTATTGTGTGTTACCTTCGGCCGAGTAGACTTCGACCTCGCACAACGACAACGACCCTTCGACGCCGACCAACTGCAAGAATACATACTGACCGATTATTTGTCGTGCGCAACTGAGGATTTTGGTCGTTCCCTCTTCTGTAACGCGTTCATTAACGTGATATTAAATCTACTTGGAGGTCTTTTTCAACGATTATTGTCTGCCTTACCTATTGTTCCGGGAAACCACGAACACAATGGATTCCGTTGGAGTTCGGTACTACTGTTTCCCACTCTTATTTCTATGTCTTGCAAAGGTTGATGGCCTACGGATATCGATAAACTATTAATATAGATAAACAAATCATCGTTATTTATTCACAAAAAGAAAAAATCTGTGAAATCGTTGTTTATGTGATTTTTTTATGTTTTCAATTATTTGTGCAGAAAGAAAAAAGCGACATTTCACGCAACGGGTGTGGCCCGAAAAAAAATTGTTTAAGGTAATGGCGAAGGGGAAGCCTTGTCCTTCGGGTTATGTATTAAAAAAAAAAAAAAATACAAACGTTCAATGAAGGTATGAAAAAAATTGTGGGCGAACGCACAAGTGGTTTTTGTTTCATGTTAGTTAAAACTAGTTTATGTGTCGAGAAAAACCTACTCGGATTTATGTTTTATTTGTTCTTGCGATAACGTCACGTTTTAGTAACGTTCGTTCGTCGTATAATAATAACCGTCCGACTGCAAATAGATAAGATCAAAAGTTTGGACTTAATGATAATATTATAACCATTGTTTCACTAGACCAAATCTTTGATACGTTTTGTCATAGGCCAACCTTGTTTTTTTTTCTCTCAACTATTTACAAGAGACATATTTTCATTATTGCGCTATTTTTCGTAATATACACATAGTTTCTACGCAACCGTCTGAGAAAATGGTTTATTTCTTTATTTTTACCATCTATAAACTTATGTGCACTCCATTCGGATTGGTTCTAGTTCTACTTTGTATGTGTATTTTCTAAGTTAAGATAAGTTATGCTATTTGAAACGATGCTATTTGTTGGCTTGGTAACGTTTTCAACCATTGAAATTTACTCGACTCAAATTATTAAGCATGTTTTTTTTTGTGTGTGTTTCAGACTGAGGTTTCAAAAACTGCTATCAGCGCCGCGGCCGCCGGCATAGCCGGACTTTGCTTCGTCGGCTACTGCATTTACTTCGACCGGAAACGCCGCAGCGACCCGAACTTCAAGTCCAACTTGCGCAAGAAGAGACTGATGGCCCGCGAACAAGAACAGGCGGCCCGCGCGGCCAAGTCGGCGTTCCCGGACTTCACGGACCAACAGGCCGTGCAGCGGTTCTTCTTGCAGGAAGTCCAGATGGGCGAGTCGTACTTGGAGCAAGGGGACGTCGAGCGTGGCGTGGAACACTTGGCCAACGCCGTGGTCGTCTGCGGGCAGCCCACCGAACTGTTGAACGTGCTGCAGAGAACGTTGCCCGAGCGCGTCTTCCAGTTGCTCGTCAAGAGGCTGCCGGAGTTGGGCAAAAATCTCATGAGGAGGCCACAACAGGGACCGGTCATCAGGGAGCTGGAGGTTTCCGACGTGGAATGATCAGAGAGCAAAACGACAGCACTGCCTTATAATAATTGTTTTGTTTGTTTTTTTTTTTTTTGTAAAAAAGAAAATAATCTTAGAGAGACACTATCAGGTTTTTTTAGAGTATTAAGTTTAGTTAAAACAAGCGTTAATTGTTATCCAGACGGAAAAAAAAGAAATCGCACGCAGAGAAAAAAAAAATATGCAACATTAACAATATATTATATGTAATGTATTTTATGGTGTTAGCTTGATTGTTGTTTTTTTTAACTAACGAGTTTGATTTCTTAATAAAAAAAAAAAAGTATTTGATGAAACATTTTTAAACGTATGCGACTAGATATTATATTATGTCGATAGCTGTTCGTCGGTAAAAATATTATTATAGCAGTGCACGTAACGTCTTGTCGTTTATACATTTTACCTAACTGCTTAGTAGCTGATGATATTGTGTAGTCTTTGAAAGAAAGAAAAAAGTAGCTAGTAGAATAATATTGATTGACTCGGATGATGTTTATTTTTATTCATAGATTCAATCGTCCGGGGACTGTATTGTGTGTTTTGTTCTCGTCAAAGCAATAATAGTATTAATATAATACAAATATATTATACATATTTTTTTTTTTGTAATTAAATTGGAAAATATATTTGAAATTCATTACGAACTTTTTGTTGTTAACTGGAATTTTTGAAGAGCTCATAACACCATTTTACGAGGTACCATAACTCTTATACGTATGTATAAGAGTCAAATAATTAGACTCTAGATATACTCTAAAATTTACTCTTAAACTATCAACACGGTCGTTTAAAAAAAACATTTTTTTTTTTTACTCTCCCTGCCCGCCCTCCAATCGATATAGTAGTCTATTCAAATAAATACCTAAATTTTCAGATCCCTATCTCAATCCTAAGTACTTGATGATTTTCTCTTGCATATTTTGATAAAAATGGGAAATTTTAATATTTCATTAAAAAATTAATTTCACGTTAAACAATTTTTTCAAATAAAAAAAATGTCGATTACCTTTCAAGTTGGAATTTTTTGTAATAAAACCAATTTTAATTTCCCATGTTAATCATAATATGCAAACGCAAAAAATCATAAAAAACCGAGCTAGCGATATGAAAGTTTAGCGATTTCCTTTTTTGAATGTGCTATTACTGTCGATTAAAAGCTGTGGGTTAGCTGTGGGAAAAATGAATAAAAAACAACAGTCTGTTATGTATATTTACCGCAGCATCCCCGGGTTGTGATGGACACGGCTTTGATGGGGTACGGCTGTAGCAAGTCGACCGACCACCACGGTGAAGGTTCTTTGAGGGTTTCCGTGCACCTTCGGCCGTCGTGCACCGTCGTTGGATCGCCGTCGTTTGCGTTGCCCGAATTACCGCCCCTGGCCGTGGTCGACTGGTTGGTGGGCTTGTGCACGGCCACGTTAGTTCCTGTCGAGATAGTAGAAATAAATTTCAACTGTCCGTCTACTTGCCCCGAGTTGCCTGCTCCTTTTGGGGGGCGTCGGTAGAAGAGTAGTTGGCTTGGTATTATTAAAAAAAAAAAAACACTGCGAGCATTTGGTCGAACCATGTAAAGGTTGGACGTTTGTAACCATAAGGTAAAATATCTTTGATAGGGGGTGCATAACTAAAAGCCTTTCGAATTCTTCCCCTTTTTACCTACTAATAATATTACCTCTAATAAGAACCGAATTTATTCGAAAGGGCAACCGTTACATAAAAAAAATGTTTAATTTTTACCATCACAGCTGTGAGTCGTAAAAGTATTTACCACTTTAAATTTCAACACCGATTTTCTTAAAAACTACAAAGCTACCTAATTCAGAGTGCGTAATATTTCCGGGGCTTTCATATTTCCTTTTTGTTTAGTCCAATTTACATAGCTGTTCCTTCCTGTATCTGTTCACCGTACATAGTTATTTTCTTCCCATAAACAGGACATTAGCTTCGTTTAATAATATTAATAAAAGTAATACAGACTATGGTTCCTATTTGATACAAATAGGTGTGTTTATTTTAAGTGAGGCCGTTTCTCAATTTGGGAAACCTATAGGCACATGTCTAATGGGTAATATGATCCTGTCATAGAGTTCCCTCCTTGAAAATGTTTTGCCAAACTCACCGCAAAATGGTAATTCGCCGGTCCAAGCGCCGTTGGTTGAACAGGTTATCGATTCTGAACTGTACATGCGGAACAAGAAAACGTCGTTGAGATATCAAGACGAATAAGGTAGGTAGGTATTAATATTATTAATAAAAAAAAATTCAATAAAATTACCCGAAAAGTTTGTATCCGTCGTCGCAGACGTAAGTGGCTTTCGAACCTTCTCTGACCAGTTTGGCGTTGACCGGCACGGGCGGATGACCGCAATCGTTATCTCCTGCAAACCAAAACAAAAAAACGCAGATATGTAAATATTTTTCGTTAAGATGTGTCTTACGACGACACTCGAATCGCTAATTCGCGTTATGCGGTTGTATTTTTTTTTTTTTTTAATATTCTAAACACGAGGAAGGTGCCCACGATTGTCCGTGCTACCCACGGTACAAATGTTAATAGGGTTATTATTCTGAACGGATCCAGTTGTGCGTTTGTAACTGGTCAAAATACACTATTGGCGTTCACATACACGTACACTAATTGGGTTTAATAATTTGGGGAAGGACAGGGTTAGCTTGCCAGGACCTTGTTAACATTAGGCAATTATTTTCACGTGACTATGTCATCAAGATCAAAATGGGTCCCGTTAAAACACTGTACTTTATGGTGCATTTATCGATGAAATTTACTCATTCCCCATTAAGTGGAAACATTTGAAACGTTCAGATAAGATTAAGAGTGGGTGGGTGCGATAAAACATATTCATATGTTTCATACGTTGTTCCTCGAAGAAGATGAAATTGGACTTGAACTTACACGTGTTTCATCATTGATTATAACTATTGCAAATGATTTCAAACCCTCGTAAGTTATACATATTCCGATTACAGCAAATAACTTTGATTAGGTACTGTTGAAAAATAACTGTAACGAACCAAATATTGAAATCGACAACTAAAATGTAGAATTTTACATATTCCACAATCGTTTCGATTATTATACTTTATCTACAACGTACATAATATCTAAAATAATAATTGTATCGTTGTATGAGATATAATTAGGCATATCTGTGTCCTGTGACAGCTGGATTAAGTACTTAGGTGTGTAGATATTGCTTTAGTACAATTTAAACATTAAAACATCGCAGGCATATAATTGGGCGATTGTTGCGACAAGACAGCCGGTGTACGGTATTGTATCTTTTCAAGGTTTCGCTCGCTGGAAATACTTTCAACTATTATTATTATGTAGATGTAAACATTATAATCATAACGACCGTAAAATAATGTTTATTAACCTACAAAAAAGCCGATTAAAACGATTGTATTGCAATGACAAAATATAATATACAACATAAGATAAATACACAAATACCTAAGTATCGGAATTCGAAAACCGCGGTGGGTTGTAGTGATTATATTTGTTTAAAATGTAGGTATAGGCTTATATTTTATACCAAAAAATAATTCTTAATATTATATTTTGTTGATCGTGCCTATTTATAAGCAACATAACGCGACGTCAGTTTAAAAAATAACACAAATGTGTATTTAGTTTTCTTGAATGAGAGATAATCAACATATTTAGGTTTACTGTAAAAAAAAAAAAGTACTTATATATGCCCCCCCTCCCCCGACCATAACACTAATATCCTAACTTCTTCTCCGTCTTATCCTTTACAAATAAGCCATATAAATAATCTGTACATACATAGTGATTTATTAAAGATAAATTACTGTTTTTTTCTTCTTAAAATAATCGTAGTTCTGTGGTTTCTACTTTTTACTAAAAAACATATACATACATACATAAATGCATATATTAGCCGATGGTAAAAGTAGTGTGTGTGTTTGTGTGTGACTCGTTATGAAGCACAATACGAGTAAAAGTATAATTGAACAAAACACACGTTTCAAGTTATTGATCCGTACTGGCGTAGATTTTTTTTAATGTGTAAATAAAAAACCAATATTACATCTTAGTATATAGGTACAATTTAAATAATGGAGGTTTTTTGGGGGGAAAAAAAATGAAAGTGACTTTTCATATGCTTGCTGGGTTCTAATTTTTACAAAAAAAAAAAAAATAGATATTCTAATAAAGTAGGTATTTTTATAAGGTAACCAATCAGAAATGTCACCTGTATTCGTGTCGGATGGTTTCTCTCTGCTGTTTTGTGGTCAATTCCTATTACCACAATGTCGGTCGATCGACAGTGACATATTATTAATATTATTATTATATTTTACACTCACAATGTAAGTACAATGGCCCGTGTGACCGATTTGGGTCACAAGCCAGTGGTCACGGACCGCGTATAAGTCAATGGGTTAGAATTTTTCGATTTTTTTTTTCTACAATAATTTCACTATCGGAATTTTATATAATATTGTTTATTATAACGTGGAAAAAAAAGAAAATCCATTATATCCGTGTTATTATTTTTTTAATAGGCGTTAAAAAAGTATATAATCTTAGTCGCCGTTCTTGTTGTTATTTTAATAGTAATTGACAGGAACCAACAAAAAAAAAAAACAAAAAACTACTTGTACAGTGCAAAAAAAAAAAAGTGGTCACTTCTCGAAGGACTTTGGTCTGGAACAGTACCTTATTAATCATATATATATAATATAAGAAAACCGGTTATCGCCAGTGTTGGAAAATAATATTATAATCGTTCGAGTGAAAAATGTGTTCCAATGACTTTTTAACGTATAGTTTATTAGAACTCATTATCATTCTTCTTGAAACACTATACATTTAAGTGAGGTAAACGTTGAAAGTAATAATTCAATAATATTTACCACGGGACAAATAAATAGGTCAAAAAAACCGTTCATAAAATATTATTAAAATTACTTAATGGTCAATTTGTTGGCCAACATGGGTTCATCCAAATAATTAAACGTAAATTAATTTCACCAGATTTTTCTTCAACATTCTCAGACTTTCTTCAACCCGAAAATACATGATATATATTAAATACTATTGCAATAAAACGGGTTTTTGTACACAGCGAATAGGTTATTAAGATATGGAAAAAAAAATTCCCAAGACAGTATTCTACTCTAGTTTTGTTTTGATTAAGCTTTAAAAACGAGATTTTTTTTGCTAGAGAAATTATACTTTTTGCAAACAACATTTTATGTTAATTATTTATCATATTTATCGTGGTGTGCGTTAACACAGACTTAATCAGTTGAAACTATCTAAATTATAACTCCGACAACTATAATTAGTATTATATTTTCTTATCATAATAATATTTATAAGTCTATCAGAATCTTTATATTCGGAGCTTCGGATTAAGTAACTTTATTATTATTACTATTAAAAGTTATAGTATTTTAAAAAATCTAAAACAAACTTACAAGTTGTTTTTGGTTAATGGTACCAAAGAAAATATACGAGGTAAAACTATTGTCTGTTATTTCTGTAATTTATATAATTTTCACTTAAACAATTTTTATCTAATATAGTATGAATTGTTTTTTTTTTTGTAACTTTATATAAGTAAATCAGTAAAACCTGTCTATATAAATAATTTATTCAAATCCAAAGCTAGTAATTTATTTAATAAACAAGAATTTTAATACAAATTCAGATGTATATTAAAAATAAAATAAAACAATTCAAATAAAAAATATAGTTTTTAACAACTAGTTAATTGTTTGAATATATTTGTAATAACTTGCATGTACTCATAATAAGTCTTAATATTATTTAATAAAGGCTACTTAAAAAAATGTAAATTTTATTGTATTTGAACCAATTTTAAATATAAGTTCGGATAACAAAATAAATTAAATTAATTGTTTATTAAACTAATGAGTTTCACACGTTGTTTTTGTTTTTCGTTTAGCCGATTAAACCGGCATGAGTTTTTTTCTACTATTTTACTTCTGCTTTTATTTACTTACAACAATAGACCGTTCTAGACTGTTTTTATATTATCTCAATTATTGAGTTAATTGATATTTTGCGCACTACCAATAAAACTTACGTTCACCTGCGGTTCGTTTTCGTCCAAGGTTAAATTATTACTTCGTCCGTTTTTGCCTTGTCTTAATTTAAAAATAAATCCTTTCGACCGGTATATATTATATTGTATTCTTTATAAGGCATCATAGTATTTTTATATAATATATATATATATATATATAGATCTAAAGATCTATAAACGATAAATAGTTGTAACATAAAAAAAATAGATACTGACGCTGTTTTGTGTTGTATTTTATTGTAATCCGATTAATACATCTATATATAATGTCACATATATATATTTATCGACATTAAATATAATATCTTTATTAAGCGTCTAAAAAAAAAAATAAAACGACGATACAGTTTCTTTTCGAGTATAATATAATATAATGGCGTCAAAAGGACAATGTACTTTGATAAACAAAAAAAAAAAAATATATATCGAGAAAGCAAAGTCAAACTGGACATTGGATTTGGATCGCCTAGGACACACTTATTACATTATTGTGTTGGTCGTGACCCCGTTTCGCTAAAAACCACCATAGGAAATAATACAATATGGTCTTTTTTAATCCATGCACACATTGTTGGTGTACAAACGTATAACAACCCAGCCGAAGGACGCTCGAAAACAAAATAAGTCTGGTATTAAAATATAGCCGTTATGATAAAGTAATATAATACACAGGGCGATTCATTAAGGATAAGACAGTAATTTTTTTCTTGAAATAATTGTTTATGTTATTTTACAACACGAAACAAAATTCAAATTGTTATCATATCAACTTTTGCCTTAAACGGTAACGTATATATTCAATTGGTTTTTTTTAATTAGGTGATTTGCGGAAAATTTTGTTTGGTCGATAACCAGTTTTGGATAATTACTTTTAAAATTACCAACGTTTTTGTTTCAAAGTAATTATCTAAAACTGATTATCGACAGGCAAAATTTCCAGCGAATTATTCTAAATTCGAAAAGTGAATATACTTCAAAAGAATATTATACGGGGGACTATGGCAAACCATGTCAGTTTATAGCATGCACACTAAAAAACACTCGGACGTGACGTATTCATTGATTTCATACTATATTGATTTCCAATATCAATTTTCAATATCTACGTAAGATAATCTTGTATCTGATGTTGGTACCAACACCACATGGTCTGATCTTGGTTATGTCTTGTTGTCACACTATTATGATGGATTTGTGCCACGAAAACTTATTCCAAGTGTAAACGTCGAAGATATTCGCATGGTATTGAGCTATTCCGATTATCAGAGACTTGA